CCCCACCCCTCACTGCTACATATTTCTATTCATTTTCCTGACCCTGTGATTCTCTCCTGTCTCTTCCCATAACTGATTCTGGCCCCCACTTTACTTTCAAATTCACTGATAATTATCATAGAAGTTTTGTACTCAATCTCTGGCCAATGCATGAAGGACCTTAAACTACAGTCCTGAACCTTTCCAAGGAATGATGTACACAGGATGCCATGACAGAAGAAGAAGCAACTCAGCACCAATAAAATTTCAAAACTCATGCACGGAAAGCAGAATTGTATTAAAGCGTTTCAGTGATGCAAGAACAGTGAAAGAAACACTGGGAAGAAAGTCGCCATGGCAGTGCAGATGGGCATTCAACCCCCAGGATTGTGTCTTTTCAGGAAAATGCCCTGCTGGGGACCTTGCTTGCTCTCTGCCCACCCAGCTATCCAAACCAAGTCCAAGCATTAGTTTCCATTTCTCGGTATCCAGGAGACTCTTGGCAGGGGATGTGCTGAAGTACTTCCTGCTGCTTGCTCTATCCGAGTGCTCTGATTGAACCCCACTTGTACTTTGTGCATGTTGCTGAATGCTTTTCCTCTGGATGTGAATTATGTAGTTCACTGAGAAGTAGGAGTGAGAGAAAGGAAGTTGCACTAGCTTTAGAGTGGAGATAGGGCTAAAGGGTGACAGGTATTCTGGATGTGTAAACATGACTTCTAGAAGTCTTCAGATCACAGAACAAGGCCTTTGGAGCAGTTCCAGAAGGCCTGTTAGAGAGAGGCCAGAGAACATTTCCAATGGAGGAAAATTTGTTGCCCCATGATTTAAGTACGGGTAGACGTTAAAACCTGTTGTATTTGTATCCTGTGGCCAACTTTGATATAAGAAATTAATTTTGTAGTATCAAACATATTTTATGTGTATTGTATAGTATATTAAATATATTTTGATTGCAAGTCTTGTCTGTGTACCATGTGCTTACCTGATATCTGTGGAGGTCAGAAGAGGGCATTGAAGCCCTAGAATTGAATGGCTGACATTTTTGAGCTGTTATGTTGGTGAATAGAATTAAACCTAGGTCCTCTGGAAGAGCAACCACTGCGCTTAATCACTGAGCCATCTCTCCTGCCCCTGTTTTTTTTCTTCTTTACAAAAGGTTTTTGTTTAGCTCACCCTGGCATAGAACAGGCTAAATAGAGCTGAGTATGATCTTGATTTCTGATTTTCATGACACTACCTCCCAAATGCTGGGGTTACAGGTATGCACCACCATGCCCTATTTTGTTTCTTTGTTGGAGATAGTAGAGATGTTTTAATGCATGCTATATAAGCAAGTACTCCATCAACTGAGCTACATACTCAGAAGAAGAAATGTTCAGAACTCAGGTTCCTTAGAATATCTTTAAGGTTTCTTGGAATGTCCTAAAGTTAAGACATTTGGTTTTGCTGAAGTCTACTGAGAATTTAACTAGGGTTGAGGGGGACATTTAATTTTGTTTTGTTGTTATCACTATAGGGCTTGCCAGGCCTGTATTTATTTCAGGTAATTAGCACCATCAAAAGTCTCACAATGACACAGAACTTATGTGATTGTGTTGTGGGAAAGACAGAACATCAAGGTAGCTTCCCCCCTCCCCCAATGTAGGAGGTCTGGTGAATCCTGTTAGCAAGATTACTCAGCCACCAGTGTCTCAAAGGGATTTCCAGGTCAAAGACAATTCCTTTGTGTTTGTTTTACAATAATGATGGCATTTCCTCAACTCCCAAGAAAAAATGTAATTTCCCCAGTGGCCAGATTCAACAAATGTCATGTACAAGTACAAACTGGACTTTAGCTGTACATCTTTTTCTTTTCCTTTCTAGCCTGTTTTCAAAGTCATTCCCTTGAGACATGGTTCTCTCCCTGTGATAGTTAGACAGCATTTATTTTTACTCTTGCATAAAGAAAGCTAGATCCAGCTAAGTAGCTACTACTGATAGCTGAGAGCTACTGGAGTAGGGAGAGTCCATTTATTTTCAGGCCTCTGGTAGGTAGTCTCTGTGCCAGTGGATGGCCTCACACACACAACCGTATATAGGCAGTGGTAACTGGGCTTAGTGTGTTAAAAAAAAAAAAAAAAACAAGAGGGCATGAAGTTTGCAGGGGGTATGTTGGAGGGATCTGGAAAGAGGGAAATTTAATGAGTGAATATAAACAAAGTACATGTATATCGTATGCATGTATGAATTCCTTTAAGATTATATAGACATTTGCACTTGGAGGTCATGGTCCCTCTGTCCTCTATTCTGCCTCCAGAGGATGTATTTCACTTGCCTTCATACAGCATGGCTGCAGAGCCAACAGCTGTCGAGTCTGAAGTTCACTTGGGAAAGGGGGTCAACAAAGGAGAGTGAAGAGATACATGCCTGCTAAATCTGCCTCTAGAAAACCACTTTTGTAAAAGCAACACCAAGAGGCCTGTGCTGACAACCCATGGCCCAGAAGGGAGTTATTTAATATCATCCACACCCTACACTCCACCTCTGCCAGAGGAAAGAGAAACTGAAGAGCTCTGTTACATATACTCACCTGGGCACACTTCTGTCCCAATTATGAATTTGTTGGGGGGTGGGGACAGAGAACAGGACATTGTTAAATGCCCACCTTACCATTTCATCATGGAGACTACTAAAAGTACATCCATGGACTGACCACTCTCGACAGAGCTTGGTGAAGTGGTAAAGTGGGGGCTGTCCCTCTTCCCTCTCCCAGTCCCTCTCCTGATTCCTCTCCCTCTCTCCCTCTCCCTCTCCCTCTCCCTCTCCCTCTCCCTCTCCCTCTCTTCCTCTCCCTCTCCCTCTCCCTCCTTCCTCTTCCTCTCTCCCTTTGTTCTTCCCACACACAGACCACAGTACCCGATGGAACAAAAACTTGATGCCACAATTTGTTTTCTATTAACGCTGATGGATAATTTCATGTTTAGGGAGAGTGTTTCATATTTAGATGGCATATTCAATTTGACTCATTTAACATCAACAGCAGTGCATTTAGAATGGGAAATACATTTTACAAAAAAACAGTCTATGTTGTGTATAGAAGTGACTGTCACTTCAGATATAGCTGTTCCATGTGCTGATAAAAGCCCCATAACAGTGTTTCATGAGTTATATGAGGCACCATCTTCATTTTGGGGAAGCAGAGTCGACATTACAGGCAACAGAGGGATGCACACAGTGTTTGCACCAGTCTAAAATCTTTATTAAGTAAGGCATCAGGCGTGTCAAAGCATGTTATAAATCTGCACATAAGGTGAGAGATGCATGGGACACGTGAATGCTAACCATACATTCCACTTTGTGTGTGAACACCCAGTACTCTGGAATCTGTTTAATCAGAAGTCAATAATTTCTGCCCCACCCCAACTCCTTTAATGATCTTGTCATGGGAGGACAGAGCAAAGGAAACACAATGCACAGAAGTGCACCTGCCTTCTAGGAAAACAAATTCAAATTGGTGGAGAAGGCATTGTTAGAATGATACTTTTTCAGGCTTGGAAAGAGTAATTTGGACAAGTAATTCCTTCTACAAAGTCTGAACTTGCCCCATGTGTCTCTGTCTCCTGTGCCCCACCTCTCTCTCTCTCTCTCTCTCTCTCTCTCTCTCTCTCTCTCTCTCTCTCTCTCTTTCTCTCTCTCTCTCTCTGTGTGTGTGTGTGTGTGTGTGTGTGTGTGTGTGTCTGTGTGTGTGTCTGTGTCTGTGTGTGTCTGTGTGTCTGTGTGTTTGTGCATGCCAGATGTGTAGGTATATAAACACATGGCTCTATGGTTTAACTAATGGATTGTCCATTCCCTGAGCAGTGCAGATTAAACATGATTTAGGTTTCAGATATTAAGTTTCAGGACAGTTTGTAACGTGCCCCTTGAACAGATCTCTTATTTATAAGACAGCAGGAATGAAAGATTTATTTACACAAGCGCATTAGAGAAGTTACACTGTATTCCGTATTGATCCCGGGTAACAGAGGGAGGCAAAGGAAGAAAGGGAGAGGGAGGAAGAAAATGACAGAAAAAGAAGAAAAAGTGACCCCTTCGAATATCTATTTATTTGACTTAGCTTGGTAATCTTGAATTGTGTAATTCAGTTCAGTGTGCTTATGTAAGTAAGTAAGTAAGAATGTGGGGGGGGGGGATAAGAGGAGAAGAGAGAAAGAAGTCACCAAAAGAAGCAAAATATGTGTGTGCTTAAATTAAATGAGAGCTGTATAATATACTCATTCCCAGCTCAGCAACAGTGGAACGAATCGCACAAATGATGCCAAGCCATTGATAATAATTCCTTAGTTTATAAAGTGTACAGTGTCTTAGACTGGGTTCCTGCTAAAAGGAATCAGGAATTAACTTAATCCTTTAACATGAAGACAGAAAATACACATTTATCTCTTGTCCTAAAATGCAAGCAGCTCTATAATTGTCAGTTTATTCCTCTAGCATATAATCAAATCAACATCATTGTGTTGTTGACAAAAGTACTCAGACATGAGACTCAAGTCACCATACACAACGCTCCCCTGCCTTCAGGAGAGGTTCTAGCTCTTTGAATTCTCCTCAACCCACACTGTAGCCTCTCAGGATCAGGAACCAACAGCACCTAGCATCTATTCTCCAAAGCTCTGAGGATGCATACAGCTACTACCCACGCCTGCATCCCACCGCTGCAATGTCGCTTCTTCACAAATGTTTGAGCACAGTGGGAGTATGAGCACAGGAGACTGCTCCAGGGAGCACACAGAAAGGCCCCTGCCTCACTTCTGACCCCCCATTGGTTTGGTTGAACCAAGGTATTTAAGAAAGAAATGCTTCCTTGCATAATGATGTCCCTCTTTCTTCTGTCACATGGTTCTGGCTTCCAACACTCACTAATAACACTTTAGGCAAGTTCCGCTGAAAGAAATGTGTGACTTGATGGCATTTTCAATTTCTTAAAGCCACATCTCTGTGTGTACAGATGCCAAGATACTATGAGAGGCAAATCCTGTGACTCAAACCACACTGGGTTTTACTTTCTTATCTGAATGTTTCTGGGCTGAGGCAAATCTTATCTGTTGTGCTTAGATGATAAGATATTGTTATAAATTCTCATTCCATCATTAATTTTTTTATTTACATGCTAATATTTAGCTTACCTGCTTCTCTATTTTTATCTAGTCCATCAGCCTCTTCCTCCCACTCTTAAATACTTCACCTTCAAGATACATAAGTATATGTAATAATGAGATTAATTGTAATCAATTAAGCTTCTTAGTCACGTTCCTAATACAAACTCTGTTACCAAAGGCAAATTTTAATATTAGAAAACTGTGGAATTTTTAGATGATCATTCACCAAGTTTAACCTTCTCTGCTTTCTATTCCTGCCGCAAATCACAGAAGTAAGTTTGTTAAAAATCATGCTTACAGCTTTGGGCCTTTAGATAAAGGTCAGAGAGGAGGGCTACATCTGGGATTCCATGGAGATCCTGTTTAAAGTCAGGAGGGCTTTCTGATAGGGGACTTCCTTACACTCATCTTGTGGGGACAGGACGGTCTCCTCTGGGTTCTCACAGCTGCTCACCATGGCAACTGCACTGAAAGATCTCCTCCTGGTGTTGGTGTCAGAGGTGCAGGATCCTCGGGCAGGGGATGTTTTCTCCAAGTTGTTGAGTTGTTGGTCCTTCCAGTCCAGTTGTTTGGCACTGCAAAAGGGGGCATAGACTTCCACACTTCCTTCAAACTGCAAGCAGTTCACCTTGTAGTATTTTCTCTTCACTTCCAATACATCATGAAATCGATGGCCCCAGAGAATTTCTCTGGGGACATAGGAACTTCTGGACTGGTGGGATGTCCCAGTAGAATCACCAGTATAAATAAATGTCACCAGGATCTCGAAATTATCTTTGGCCACTGCCTTGCGGTCAAGGGCATACAGAGGACTCTCATGATCAATTTCATGGACGATAGTCACTGGAGTTACCAGGATTATCTGGTCATTGACGAGTTTGAGGTCTTTAAATGCCATGGTCATCCGCCCTTCATTGTCTTCTGAATAGCGCAGAAGTTGGGCTCTCACCGTGCCCTCCACCACATGGTTTGGTCTGAAGTCACCTATACGCCACATGAGGCAAAGCTTCCCATCTCTCATGCCAATGAGAGCAAAATAACTGAAGCGGATGGTCTGGGCTCTCTTCCGGGCAGTTGCCATCTTTGCCAAGGCTGCTCCAATGATGAAGGTGTTTATGATGCAGCTTAGGATGGACTGAAGGATCACTGTCAGCACAGCCACAGAGCATTCTTCTGTGACACAACGGTAACCGTACCCTATGGTTGTTTGGGTCTCAAGGGAGAATAAAAATGCTGCTGTAAATGAATGCACATTGTCAACACAAGGGGTGATATCTGGATCACTTAATAGGTCTCCGTGATGAAAGGCTATGAGCCAAAATATGGAGCCAAATATCAACCAGGAGAGAATGTAAGACAAAGAAAATATGACAAACATATGGCGCCACTTGGTATCCACAAGAGTGGTGAAAATATCAACCATGTAGCTCCCCCATTCTCCAAAAATGTGTTTAAAGTACACATTACAGCTGCCATCTTTGTGAAGCAGGCGCCTCCTTGCTCTTCTCTTCTCAGCTATGGCATGCTCTGGAGAATAGCCTGGATATTTGGAGTCCACATTGACGATCCGGTAGCTACTTCCGTAATAGCTCATTCTTTCTTGGTCCTTTAGGGCATGCAGTGGAGTTTGATGTCAGTTAAAAGTTTCAGGTGTATTCTAACTTTTACTTTTTTAAAGATTTTCTGTTAAAGCCTGAAAGTACAGAGCAAAAGAGAAAGACAATTAAACACCATTTTAGCTTTAGATTTCAAATTCCATCTTAGCCGTTTGACAAATTGGGAGCAATTTTCTGCTATCTAAAGTAGCAAAGACTTCATTTGAACCATGGAGACATTCAGTATTGATTCAACATTTCGGTAGAGAAAGCAATTCAGTTATTAAAGGAACGAAATATCCAATTAGAGAAAATAAGATTTTCTTTATGTTTGCATAGTGTTTGAGTAAACACTATGATTACCCCAAATGGTACCTCACATCTCTTTCTCATCTGATGGAGAGAATAGTAGGTTTATATTGACACATTTTCTTGCATGAGAAAACAAAGCAATCTATAATATACAGAGATGAAGTGGGATTTAGTTACCAGATTTCCAATTACTAAATCCAGAACAATAAATAGTTTCTACCTTTGGCATATAATGGAATGGTTACCCTGATTCCTGGAGTAGGCAGCCCCTCACTGTGGCTTCTTCTCTGTCCCACTTGGGTTTTTCTTCTCATGTACTTCCCAAAACAGAGCAGAACTAATACTGACATCTACTTCAGATCAAACTCCTTTTCTCCTAGCTCCGCCCTTAACCTTGATTGGAAAAGAAAGCTTTCTTAACCCCAGAGGAGTTCAAACCACTCCCAGGTAGGCTCTCAGGTAGGTGTAAAGTTGCCTCTGCTTTTGTATCCCAGCCTCTGTCCAACCTACGAGCTTTTTGGGTTTTGAGGCTAACATCTCTTCTCTTTCCCCTGAATAGAAAAGAAATGTTGCCAAAGTTATTAAGCTTGTTTCACCCTTAAAGGGAGCATACTGCCGATCAATAGACCCCCACCCCCTTAGTTCTGCATGCTTTTTCTGATGCATGTGCCACCTTCCCTAGACAAAGCTAGTTGGTAAGTAGAGCACACACGTCTCATTTCAGGGCATCCATGTCTAAGGATACTCAAGTCTGAAAGTAAACTTTAAAAATGTGACTGTTAAATAAATAGTCCTCAGCTTTTTCTGAGTAATAAAATTAGCATATTGAATGGTTCAGTAGTTATCAGAGTATGTCTTTGACGTGATGCACCTGTGCCAGTCTGACACAAGGGGGTATAGGCAGAAACAGGCCGTGAGATCTTACCATTCTAAACTGAGTCACATGGAAACAAATATTATACAACACTACTCTCTAAAACTCATTAGAAGATTGATCACTTTGGATCAACTGCCTTCCCTACTGCAGAAGAGAAAGTGTTAACATCGTTCCAGCCAGAAAGAGTCAATTTCTCTGCCTCTCTCTCTCTCTCCAGGGATCAGACCCACTTTACAAAGAACTCTTTGTCTAGGAGACCACTCACAAAGATTGACTGTGCTTAAGGCCAAAAGCCCTGTAAAGCATCCTCTCTCTCTCTCTCTCTCTCTCTCTCTCTCTCTCTCTCTCTCTCTCTCTCTCT